AAGACGTCAAATTAGAAGAAAGCATAACACTGTTAGAGATTATGTCTCTAAAGGAGCTGTAAGAGTGGATCACGTATGCACTGATGAAAATTTAGCAGATCCTTTGACGAAAGGATTAGCTAGAGAGAAAGTTTATAATATATTATATAAGATGTGACTAATACCTATAGGAATGTAAGTTTCTCATGATGGTAACTCGACATAAATGTATGGAGATCCCAAGAAATAAGTTCAATGGGTAATAACAAGTTGTGAGTAATATGAGAGTTGTGAGTAACATGAGGCGATCATGCTAGTAAATAAAAGATGCATGAATCCTGAAGTGATAAGAGGATGAGATGATAAAAACTCTTAATGAGATCTATACTCTATATGAGGGAGTACCTAAGCTACATGAGTACTCTTGATAAATTCACCTATGTGATTGTGGAATTTCGAGGCATAATTCTTAGAGCCTTCACTAAACCGAGATACACGTGCAAAACCATTAAAATGAGCTATTAGAATACACCTTAAGAAAATGTTGTATTCAAGTTTGATGTCTAAGATAAAGTCCAAAACATTTGTGTCACTCTTGTTGAATCGAAATCCTACTTGCTACACAAAAGTTCAAGTCGTAGACACATTTGTTTATGCACAATTTTAGAAACGTTAGACGTTAGTTTTGTAACACCTTTTTAAATTTAAATGGGTGATTGTTGGAACTTGTCCATGTTCCAATATGTTGAATTTAAAAATTTCTTAAGCCCCACATTGATAGAAATTTTTTCGTGGTTATGCGTAATTAAAAAAACTCTAAGTTCCACATCGTTTAGATTAGATATTTTGATTTTTGACTAGTTTACTTCATTATATAAGAAAATCACTTGATCCTTTTCAAAACACATTAAAAACTCCTTTTTTGATTTTTTTCCTTTCTCACTCTCATAACTCCACGTCTTTCAAATTGTCAAAGTGTCAACTTCTTCCTCTTTTTTTCTACTAATTGAAATTTTTGAGTACTTTCTTGAATTCTCTTTAGAGAATAATGTCAAATTCTCCTTTAGAGAATTATTGAAATTTCTTTTGATTTGAGAAATTATTACAACTCGTAATTATATCAGATACTATAGTGGTATTTATACTATATTTGAATGATCTTAATATATTTCTAGATCAATTATCTACTGTATAAATAATAATCATACAGTATAAAACTATATTGTTTTATCTTAAAAGTAGCGAACTGAACTGCGACTCAATCCGATAATTTTTTGAGTGAAGTTTTTTTCAAACCCATGAAACAACAATAGATGAATAGATAGATTGTAGATATGTTAATTCTCTTTTCCGTAAAACAATATAAACTAATTTAATTTCATCATCCGAATTTCACGATCGTTGTTTCCGGCTGAGTGTCGAAAGGAAGCAGACGGCGAGATGTTGTTTCAGGTAGGCGGGCAAGGCAGTCGTCCGACGTTCTTCGAGATGGCGGCCGCCGATCAGCTTCCGCGAAGTCTCCGCGCCGCTCTGACATACTCAATCGGCGTTTTAGCATTACGAACACCTTTCCTTCATAAATTACTAGACTACGAAGACGAATCCTTCTCCTTACTCATGCTCGTTCTCGAAGCTCACAGTTTACGAACATCAGGTACTTGTTTCTCTCTCGCTCATTCATCGCAATTAAGCGTAACTAACTCTAATTCGTTCATTTTCATTTTGTTGTTAGATGCTTCTTTTTCTGAATCTCTCTATGGTCTCCGAAGAAGACCGGTGAATATCAAACTCAATAACGATAGTGCTGCTGCTGCTGCTACTACTTCGCAGTTACGCAGACGACAAAAGCTTGTTTCTCTTGTCTTTTTGGTACCAAACCCTAACCCTATTCGGAACTGTTTCTAGTGTCTTTTGATATGTAGCATAGAAACCTCTGGAAAAAATATGTGTGTTGGTATCCAAAAACAACTTATAGCTTATGTCATGTTAATAAGTTGTTTTCAACCTATTTTCATAAGCTCTACAAGATAGCTTACAAAAACAACTTATAGCTTGTTTAAAAGCAATTTTACTTGATTTATCTTTGGGTACATAGGTAACTTATACATGCGCACTCGTATAATATGATAAACGATTATGTTATAAGCTTTTAGTTAGGTTGTGTATACAAACAATACTTTTATCTCTCTCAATATTGTTTCATGTCACACGAAACCACTTCTTATGAACATTATACGATATATGCTTTCAGGTCGTGTTGCCGTATTTGAAATCGAAGTTGCACTCAATCTACAATAAAGAAAGGGAAGCAAGAATTCAGGCCAGTCTTTGGGGAGATGAAAACGAATCATATGATTTTGAACAAAATTCTCTGGTGTCCACATCAACCTCGGATGCCCGTGCCTCCGTTACAACACGCATCACAAGGAGATTTAAGAAAATTGTCGGATTTTGTTACCCCTTGTTACATGCTGGTACCGAGGGTATGTGTGTGCAATACAAGTTTCTGAGACTTCGGATTATTTGTATCCTGATTTTTTTAAAATATATCTTTATTTTGATTGCAAGCTATTTTTCAGATAAATGCAAATCCACTTAATGTTTAAGAGCTCATTGTTTTCTTTATGTTTGTTCAATTTATTTGATTCTGTCTCAATTAATACTTTGAAGTCTGAATATATCTGACTGTCTATATTTACATGTAGGCTTCCAGTTCGCATACCAAATGTTATACCTATTGGATGCTACTGGGTACTACTCACTAGCGTTGCACGCACTTGGGATTCATGTGTGCCGAGCCAGTGGACAAGAGCTGGTAAACATTTAGTGTATGGAATTTGGAGATGTCTTCATTATTTTGCCTATCATTTACAAAAATTATAGCCAAAGCTATGACAAGTATAGTTTTTATTTACTATGTTTTGCGTTTTTAATTTTGGTCCTTTGACACCAAAACTATCTTAAGTCCCAAGATGGGCATGTATTGGTGGCCTGTCAACTTTTAGACTTCGAGTCCAAGCGTAGCTAAATAACTTATGAAATGTGCTATAGTTGTTATCATTTAAAAAATTCTCTTAATTGGTCGTCGAGTGCTGTTTTTGTTATCGGAGAATGTGAGCGAATCTATTGTGTTGATGTATTTGTCAGTTTGTTGGTGCATTTGTCGGTTTGTTAAGTAGTTAGTAAGTGGTGTTTTGCAATGCAATCTGTCGACATACAAGCCTATGTTTTCAGCTTTCGCTAATTTAATGCCCAATCCTTCCAAGACGATGAAACTTTGTTTCAGATGTAACGAGTTTGCAAATCCACGACTAACTTCATCAAGTTGTGTTTGAACTTGTTCTCTTGTGTGGCAGTCGTGCTTGACAAAATTGTACATTATATTACTATTTGTCTTACTCAATATGTGAAACTCAAATTAATAATTGACTCAACTTGTGAGATTTTTTTTGTTGATTAAGAGCTTTCTAATTTACCATTGTTTTTCATATGATTAACTTTCCTTTCATGTCAAGATAGATGGACGCCTCTTCTAGAATTTCTAAGATACGTAGCCGTGAACGTGAGAGACTCCGTGGTCCTCAATGGATAAAGGTTTGTACTTCTTTTATCACCATGATAATTTTATCTTTCCTTTTTTCCCTGAATTAAGAAGAAACTAGTTTCACATACTATTGATGTTAATGTTTTCCATTTTGTCTGCCATTTGGGGCAGCGAGAGGCTTACATCAACATGGTTCAAATTATAAACCATTGCACCTGCATTGTAGAACATATCTTCCATGTGATTCAAACCTTTTTTTGTCAGGCTATATAGGTTAAAATGTTGAAACTTACTTTTTGCATATATAGCATTCGCAATATGTTAACATGCATGGCAATGCAAACTTTATGAATCAATGTTTGTTTATGCTTCACTTTATCCCCATGAGTGACTCGTGATTATATAATAATTTTCATAATGCAGACATTGCAGGGAGCATTGCTCAGCTGTACATACACTGTACTTGACTATGCTCAAACTGGTTTGATTGCAGCAGTTTTCTTCTTTAAAGTAAGATGGCTATCCCTTTTAATATATTTTTCTTCCCTCATTGAATACTCACAAATTATATGCCAAAAATGCCACGAATTTATGATACAAAAAATGCCACAAATTTATGATACAAAAAATGCCACAATTCAATCTTTATATATGTGATCCTATATAGATGATGGAATGGTGGTATCAATCTGCTGAGGAAAGAATGTCAGCTCCAACTGTATATCCTCCTCCCCCTCCTCCTCCTCCACCAATGGTAAGGAGACAAATTTCGAGCATTTCTCCATCCGTCTCTTCAGTACTCACTTCACCATTTTCATCATGATTAAAGAATTAAGAATTTCAATATTCATTATAAAAGCTTACTTTTCACTTCACAGTATACATCACTTGCATCTGCTCCATGATCTAAATCATTAAGTAGTTAGAACTTCCAAGTTATTCAAAAAGTTGTACCTGTTCAGTGGCTAAAGGATGTGGATCTCTATATGTAATATGAACAGGTAGCCAAAGAAGGGGTACAGTTACCGTCTGACAGAACAGTTTGCCCCCTGTGCTTGCAGAAGCGCGTAAATCCATCTGTGATTACAGTTTCAGGTTTTGTCTTCTGCTATGCTTGTGTATTCAAGTTTGTTACTCAGGTGAGAGCTCCAGACACCTTAACAATGACTTTGAAAGGAAATAAATTACTTACATATCATTTTAGTTTACTGCATATTTTTGCTTATTACAGTATAAGCGCTGCCCAGCAACGATGATGCCTGCAACAGTTGACCAGATAAGGAGACTCTTTCATGATGTATAGTCCCAGTTGGAGCTGCTATAATCATAGTTGCCACGAGTAGACGCGTAAAACATTCGCAATGGTTGTTGTTGCACTGATCTATATTTATTTTAGTGTTAGGAGAGGCAAGTAAGAAGCATAATTTTTTGTTATTATATTCTCTAAATTCATTTGTACAAAGTTCTAGCAATAAGATTATGGCTTGATGACTCTTGCTACAATAATAATAAGAATCTTTCTCTGCAATGCAAGAGAATTTGATGTATTTCTTATATAAATCTTTAAGAACATGGATGATAATGAAATCAAAGTGGAAATTTTGTAATTAAAAATGGACAAATGAGTGGAAATAGAAAAAGATACCCAAAGTAAACAAACTTGCATTTCAAAAATTATATCTGAAACATGTATAGTTTAACGGGGATGTATTGTTTATGTAAACTAATTTTGGACATGTTAAAAATAAAAATATATTATTTCTACATTAAATTCACTATTCTCATACATTTTAGAAGTATAAGGGAATTTCTTTTTAACCCTTATTGTCTTGTAGTCTTACGAGATTCTTGTTCTTTGGGGTGGAAGAAGATATGGAGAAAGCCAATTTAGATGTAAATCGATACATTGCAGTTGCAGGAACAATGAATCGCGAATGTTGGAAGAAGTGATGGAGTGAGATCAGATAATTGAAGAAGTAGCAAATAGGAAGTGATGGAGTGAGATCAGATAATTGAAGAAGTAGCAAATAGGGCTTTAGAGTTATAGACAGTTAATTTATAGAGCAAAGAAACAGTTAATTTGTGGTGGAGTGAGATTAGAGAATTGCAGAAAATAAACAAGGGTAGGTTCGGAGATACATCTCTGAACTAATCTCTAAAAAATTTAGAAATACATCTCTGAACTTAGTAAAAATTTGGGATTTGGTGTATTCGAAAATATATCTTCGAATAAATTCAAAGATATTTTTGGGTTTTCAGAGGTGTTCAATTATATAAGTAGGGATGTCAATGGGGCGGGGCGGGGCCGGGGGGACACTTCCCCATCTTTTTCCCCGCCATCAAATTCATTCCCCGTCTCCGTCCCCGATCTCTGTCACGGGGGAATTTCTATCCCCATCCCCGTTCCTCACGGATCCCCGTTCCCCGCGGGGATCCCCATAGATCCTACATTTATTCATTAATATTTTATTTTTTTAAAATGTTTATATTTTCTATAAAAATAAAAAGCACAAAGAATTCACATATTTATTATGTTATTAAAAAATTATAATATTTACATTTCTCTCTCTTAATAAATACATGAATATTTATTTATTTATTTTTATAAATAAACATAAAGGAAATGACTAAAAAACCTAATCTAAAATATATATATTAAATTAACTATATTAAAATAATAGGCGGGGCGGGGTCCCCGCGGGGCGGGGTCCCCGCGGGGCGGGGGGTGTATTCCCCGTCCCCGTCCCCGAAATGCTCTCGGGGGAATTTTTCTCCCCATCCCCGCCCCCACGGAGGGAAATTCCCCATCTTTGGGGCCCCGAACGGGGCGTTCCCCGCGGAGATTCCCATTAACAGGTCCAAACTGACATCCCTATATATAAGGGTGTAAAGAGAAATTATAAAGTATAAAAGGTGACTTTGGTATTTTAGAGTAGAAGTGGTAGAGTTGGTAGATTAAAAAAGAGGAATGCTCACCCCACCTCATGGGGTGCATCCTATATCTCTGGAAACCCAAAAATATTTTTTATTGGTGTTTAGAGATGTATTTTCGAACGCACTTAAACTCACATCAGCCTTCATAGTTCAACTGCACATTCCATTTTGTCAAAATATGGTGTAAAGATGCATGTTGTAAAATTTTTGGAGTGGATCCGAAAATGCGTCTTCGTAGAATATCCCAAATTTATTTTAAGTTATTGGAAGTGTGTTTATTATATATAAACATAACAAGGGGTATTTCGGAGATGCATCTCCATAAACCCCTCTAAATGTTGTCGAGGTAGCCAAAATGTTCTAACTTAGACATTTTCTGAAGCCAACTTATATTTTAGGACATTCTAGGCTATAAATTAGAAAAGGCATACATTAATTGATTCAAACATACTACATTAAAAAAAATCCTGCATTAGTTAAAGTAAATTTAAAATGTACAGATCATACATAACTTATTTTGAAATATAAAAATAATACAATCAAATATAAACTATTATCTGTCTAATCCCTCGGCTTCTCCTCTTGTATCAGAGTTATTAATCGCGGTCGTGATCATCGCTATCTCGGGCGCTCTGACCGGGGCGTCGGGGCGGCAATCCACTGCGCGAGAACAGGGGTGCAGCTGCGCCAGTGAAATCGCAACGACTTTCTCCGCTATACTGGGTAGCGGGTCAATCTCGGACAGAGCAGTTGATCCGATTTTATAAAAAAAATTCATATCTAAAATTACTATATTACCCTTAATTTTAAATGGGTTTAAAAGTCATATTTTTGTCTTCTTTCTCTCTCGTTCGTTGTCCATTGTCTCTCTCGCTCAGCTTCACTTCACCACTTCTCTGCAACCTTAACACTTCACAGTTTCTACTTCATCCACTTCAATTCACCCTTGTTTTCTCCTCCTCCGGCGACGAAAGAGACTCTAGATACTCTCCTTCTTCAGGTAATGTTTTAGGTATTCTGTTTTGTGTGTTATGAGTTTTATACTTCTATGTTCTCTTCTACTTTTTTATTATAATATTTTTTGAGTTCTACTATGTTATGTTTTTTGAGTTCTATGTTCTCTTCTACTTTCTGAGTTTTATGTTTTGTTTTGTGTGTTCTATTTTTCGAATAATGTTTTATGTGTTCTTTGTGTTCTGTTTTTTTAATAATGTTTTTGAGTAATGTTTCTGTTTTTTTAGTAATGCTTCTTGTATTATGGCAGAGTTTTGTTTCTCTTTCCGCTCTAGAGCAATATGGCAACATCTTCTTCTACATTGGTTCTACCTAGGTTGCTTCATGTGGTCAAACCTTCAAATCAGCTGGTAGAATACTTACATAGCATGACAATATAATCATTGGAAAGATTTGAATAACAAGAAGAAGGTGACATGTGATTTTTGTAATTTAACAAGTAGTGGGAGAATAAGTAGAGCAAAAAGGCATCAACTGAGAATAAAAGGGGATATAGTTCCTTTCTTGAAAACACCCGCAGATGTTAAAGCTATATACATGGTGATATGGTTGAGAAAGATATGATTGCAAAAGGAATACAAGAGGTGTTAGGGCAATTAGATGTGGCTGATACAAATGACATTGAGGATGATGCGTTTAGTGTTCTCAATTGTTGTTGTCTCTGTTGAAAGTGTCTCCAAGAAGTAGTGGTTTCCTTAACCATGGTGGTTTCTGAAGAGATGACGAGCTTGGTGTTCTCAGTTGTTGCATTCATCGTGTATAAGAGTGGGTTAGATGAAGATTTCTTGGTTTGGTTCTTGCTTTTATATTGGATTTCGAGTGTATCATACTCCTTTTTGGAAGATTAAACACCAATGACATTTAACTCATGATTTACGCTAGTCATCAACTATCTTGTCAATTTTTTTAATTTTTTTTAGGGATTGAAAAATACAAGATTTTGACTATTTTTATTCAAAATAAAATAATCCCATACATAGTTTTATTCTCCAGTCTCTTTTTTATTATTCTCTATCTTTTTGTTGATGGTAAAAAGGGAAGGAGAATGATAAGTATTTAAGCATCTGAACCTGATTGATTTAAATGTGTTTGTGCTTAATTTTAAAGATTTTTTTCGTGCTTCAATAAAATTTGTAATTAACCATACTAGGACTTATGGGGGCTTAAAAACCTCACGCTTAGGACTTTCTGATATAGGGGGAGCTTACAAACCTCACCCTTAAGACTATTAGACTCAAATGGAGCTTACAAACCTCAGACCTTGAAGTCATAATGTTAATTAAATCAATAACCATTATTCTTAAATACTTATGTTTGTTATCATCAAAAATGGGGGATTGTTGAAACAAAATTGGTTTATACCATATCCCTTGAGTTTTAATGATAACAAAGTATTTGAAGAACACTTGGGTAGACTAATGTGTGTTCAAGTGTGATGGTACAAAGATCAATATACTGATTGAAAGTCACTTATGAAACTGCATTATCATTGAAAGAGAAGCTTCTCAAGAGGCATATTCTGAAGACCAAACTCCGAAGAATCAACTTCTGATCCAGATGATTAGAACCTGATGTCTCTAGACTCTAAACAAGCCATCCTCTGAAGAGTTAGAGTCTGAAGCATCATAAGCCAAGACTCAGATTTTGAAGGACCAGAACCTGAACCCAAACAAAGCTCAAGGATCGGGGAATTCATGACACGTCGATATGAGACTCTAAGGTCAGTTTGTCTTGTTCTGGTCATATGATAACTCGGCGGAAAGTTGCAGAAATCTGAAGGTTTATAACTGATAATTCCTTTTGTAGCAAAGGAAGTCCAACTGATCTTGCAACGACATTATCCATTTGAGGAAGCTTTGATACAAATATGTTAATGTCAAACAAAAGGGATAAGGTTTGATTTTCAAGACTTCAACAAGCAAAGAAAATCTTAAATGAGATAAAAAAAATTCCATCAAAAGGTAAAGATGAGCCAATGTGTCAAACAAAATGTCTCAACATCATGCCAGACATCAGAAGTCTCAAGCTAAAGGCAGGTGCTTGCACTGTAAATGTCACTTTTGTTGTAAAAGTTGGTCATATCAGGCCATTTTGTTTCAAGTTGTATGGTTATCCCAAAGGTACAACTCAACCTAAGGTTGACCAAGTAGTGGTTAAAATTCAAGGAAGGTGTTAATTGTCTTATTCTCATACCTCTCTTAGAGCTTCAGCAAAAGAAGATTGGTATTTTGACAGTGACTATTTCAGACGCATAGCTGAAGTAGAAAAGTTTCCAGTGGAATTTAAGTTTCACTCTTCCAATTGTTTTACTTTTGGTGATGATGCCATAAGGTGAGATTAAGGGTGTTGGAAAATGGATTATTGTGGATTCCCTAAGTCTTGATGATTTTCTTCTTATTAAAGAACTAACAATTAATGTGCTAAACATGTCAGTTGTATGATCAAAGTCTCAAGGTAAGTCTCATTAATGGAGATTGTTTGATCTCTAATGAGATGTATGAAGTTCTGATGAGGAAGTTTAGTAAAAAATAGTTGCTATTTGTGGGTACCACAAGTATTTACTTTCTCATCCACATGCTTAGTGTTCAAGGAAGATGTAGTCAAGATGTCAAACCAGAATTTGCAACATCATACATCTGCTAAAGATCTTGATCTTTTAATTCCAATGCAAGGTGGGAGTCTTGGTGGATAAAGGCATGTATATGATTTTATTTGGTG